AACCAGGAGCCAAGAGGCAAGAGAGAGGAAGAGAGGGAGCTTCCTTTGTTTAGGAGATTGTGTATCTCGGAGAGCATGCCCTTGCAGTGGCCACTGACTTGTTCTCAGGTGTGACTGACAGGTAAGCATTTTTCCGAGTCACCCAAACCCTACTGGGCATGCTTCTAAATTGCCTTTTTCTAGTCCCTTCTCCCATCAGTCTACTGGGACTAGACCTGGAGAGTGTTAACTTGTAGCTTCCTGGCAAAGCTGTATAAATGGCATATCTATATTATCTGGTCTTTTCTTTACTCCTTTCCTGTTAAGTAATAATCAGATTATTATAACAGTATCATAAGCACAGCCAGTATGGGTTTCTGACTTATTTGGATCAAAATGTTTCTTTTTGAGTTGATATTCCCTCATATTCTGGCTGCTTGCGACTTTATGTTAGTTCTTCCATAGAAGTCAGAGTTTTTTGGGGGAAAGTATGATACAAAAAAGTTCAAGAAATATAGGGAATGTCTTTCATTTGTAATTAAAATTCTGAAATTCTCTGTGGAGTTATAGCTGCTCATCACACTCTTTCCTTTGGGTAGTAACCAGTGTTAAACATCATATTTAGGAGGTTAAGGTCCAAAGAGGTGCTTTTGTCCCCAGGAGAATAAGGTGGTTTCAATACTTAAAGCAAATGTTGACTATGTTGGTTTTATAAGTGGTTGTAAATTGTTCTAGTCAAAAAGTAAAGGCTTGGAGGTCTCATTTCAATACATGTTTTATTTTCCAATATTAGGATGGGCCTGAAGTTATGGCGGGATCTCAGTGGGATGAATTAGTTTACTGCCGGCTGGTGTTTAGGAAGGAACCAAGGCATCCATCCCGAGGTCCTCTTGTACACTTGAAAGCAAGTCGAGTGACCTAGAGACTGTCCTTCACTCAGTGACTGCATAAGTTTTACCATTTTTGCCACTCCTAGCATGCATCTTTGGAGATTTCTTACCTGTTCTGATTTTTGGCTCATAGATAGAAGACTTCTCCTAGCCCCTTGATACTAGGTGACAATTAGCAGGCAATTATTCTCTCTCTTTTTGTTCTTTAATATTTTTTCTTTATTGATTTTAGAAAGAGAGGAAGTGAGAGGGAGAGAGATAGAAACATCAATGAGAGAGAACATCGATTGGCTGCCCCCTGCATGCCCTCCACTGGGGATCGGGCCCACAGCCTGGGCATGTATCCTGACCTGGAATCGAACTGGCGACCTCTAGGTGCATGGGTCGATGCCCAACCACTGAGCCACACTGGCTGGGCAATTATTCTTTTTTTACAGTTATACCACCAGGATGCTGTATTGTATACTTAGCTATTCAGCAAATGCCCACGGGATAGAGAAGTTATATTGGTTTCACATTGAGATACATGATATCAAGCGCGGTTCAGGAAGGTTTTTTGCTTGTTTGTTTAAGCTTCTGAAGATACAATAGAAATGTAAATTTCTTGAGCCGTTCAGAATATTTATTACAGATATGCCAAGTTGGCCGCATGTAAACATCATCCCCGGCCAACATAATGTGGCTACTTCCCATTTTCCTAGCACACAAATGCTCATTTGTTGCACACAGTCATCTCCCCAAATAACTACTACGCAACAGAAAATATGTCATATCATTGAAGAATAAAACACGTTAGAGTACATACGAAAAGGAAGGAAGTACATCTGACTGGAGGCAAACAAAGTTTTACAGAGGAAAAGGCCTATTACCTCAGCCTTGGAAGGAAAATTGTTCCATTTGATAAATATTTACTCGCTGAGGCCTATACACCAGCAAATGCGATGAACCAAAGACTCAGCAAAGCACAGTTTCTAGAAAACAGGAGATTTCGGACACGTCCACGTCGGAGAGGAGTGTTCCATGGTGGAGATGCAGGGTAGGAAGATCACTTAAATAAAAGCACTAAGGGTGCCGCGGTGTGACGCAAGGGGCAGGCATATTGAAGGACCAGGAATGAGCCTCAGCTTCACGGGAGCAGCCCAGAAATTGGGAGCAGCAGGGGGTAGACTGCTAGTTAGAAAATGCGATCCAACACAGGTAGTTTGCGAAGATTTTCAGTAGGAATGTGATACACACAGCCCCTTTTCTGTAGGAAAAATAAAGTTTGGTGGTAGGAAGAGCAGAGGTTGAGATGGGAGGCTAAGGCTATTCTTTTAATTGAATGAATAAGAAGAGTGAATTATAAGAAGTAAAGAGGGAGGGAGGAGACATAGAAAGAAAGTTGAAGGACTGTGGTTTGGCCACTGATTAGGTGAAGGAAGAAGAAAGAGCCCAAGATGACCTAGGTTTGAACCCGAATATCTAGGCAGGTAGTAATATTAACAAAAAGGGAAGGCATGGTGGGGGAAATACACAATGAGTTCCATTGTAGATGCATTGAATTACAGAGACCCATAAAACATCTAAGAGTAGATGTTTAACAAGCCACTGAAAATGAAAAATTGGGATGTGGGCAGTAAGTAGAGTCTGAGGATACGAGTGTACACATTTTTGAGAGGAGCATTATCTGTTAAACTAAATGCCATGAAAATACATATAAGTAATTGAGAGTAGGAGATAAGTTCTGCAAAAATAGAAGGGACTGATAACTTAGCAAGATTTCTGGGAGTCTTTAGTGATATCTTCTCAAAAATGAAGATCGGTTACTATAGCATCTAACACCCTACTGTTAAGAAAGTGACATAATACTTAATGGGTGTCCCAAATTTAGAAGCATTTATAGCAACTGGTGCTCTATTCCAGCTCATTTACCAATGGTAATCAAAGTTTGCAAGTTTTGAATGGAATCCAATGCAAGAAAAAGTCCTCCAGTTCACCCAGACTGCGGTATAAACAATTCTAATGTTTGGTTCCTATGACACTGAAGGGTTCTGTGGTGCTCAAGATACCTGTATCAGAATGTGAGACCGTTTGGAGCCTGGGGAACACCCCAATGGGAGCATCAAATAGAATTTCCAGAGTTTAAAGATAAAACCTTACCCTTTCATCAAGCATTTATTTTATTGTAGAGAAAGAGCTCTTACGTATTGGATTCTGGTGGGCTGTGGATCCCCAAAGACCCCGTTATCACAAGATGCCTTGCTTTGTATTTGATTGTCTTTTCTAGACTATGATCTCCTCAAGAACAAAATACTTTACCTTATTCATTTTTGTATGCTTAAACCCTAGCAAGGACAATTATTAATTGCTCAAAAAAGATTGGTAGAATCCGGCCTGTGTAGCTCAGTGGTTGAGCGTCGACCCATGGACCAAGAGGTCACTCGTTCGATTCCTAGTCAGGGCACACGCCCAGGTTGTGGGCCTGATCCCCAGTGGGGGGCATGCAGGAGGCGGCCAATCGATATTCTCTCATCAATGTTTCTATCTCCCTCTCACTTCCTCTCTCTCTAAAATAAATAAAGGAAAAACATTTTTTTAAAACAAAAACAGATTGGTAGAAAGTCCTTTCCCTTGGCCCTATAGTTATTGACATTTATGCTAAGGAAATAATCCAACATTTTATTTATATCTATTTATATTGATATTTATAATAGGTTTGTATTAGTCCATTTATAATAGAGGAGAATCTGTAAAAGCATTAATGTTTAACAATGGAGAAATGATTGACTAACTTATGAGATGCAGACATAATAGAATATTATGCAATCACTAAAACTGTGATTTTGAAGAACATTGAGGACATGGAAACGTGAGATATAATCCTAAATTTAAAATATAATACATCAAATGATAAATACAGCATGCTTACAATTTCACCTATAACTTCATCTAGTTTTGAAGGAACTAAGTGTGACAAGAAGTCCTATTAGAGCAAGGATTATTATTGTTTAGGGAAATTTATAGAGCCTGTTCAAGTAGAAAAAAACAACTCAGAGATCATACGTTCGCAGGGGAAAATGAAGCAGAGAGAACAGAATGACACAGAGAGTGTATTTTATATAAGGTGGTCTCGGAAGGCTTCTCTGACAGGTGACGTCTGAGCACACACTTAGGGTATGGGAGACATACTGGTGTGCTTGCTGGCAGGAACGATGCAGTCGACAGGAATGGTTCGGTGATGGAGTGGAGAGAGGAGGCAGCCTCAGGGCCATGTCCTCGATTAGACACGGGTGCAGCCAGCCTTGGCCAGAGCACGGGTGATTCCTTCGGTGAAGGCCGGACATGCAGCTGCTCCTGCAGGCAGGATAATAGGTGTCAGAACAGGAGTTGCTGCAAGTTCTCTTCTGATCGCTTCCATTTCCTCCGTAAAATAGAAGCAAGGCCACCAAATAAGAGTGGTAATATATGAGAAAAGAAGAGATGTATGGAACAGTCATAAAGGAGAACGGGAGAGTGAACCAACATTTAATTAAAATTATAAAACAGACGAGATCGGGCGCATTTAGGGCAGTAAAGGCTGTGGACGTGCTAAGCCACATAGTCAGCCAGAAAAAGTCAAGCATATGATTGACTAATATGAGAGGTAAAGCTGAGAGCAACAAAGGAACAAACAAGACAAAAACAAAAACTCAAAGACACAGACAACAGTATGGTGGTGACCAAAAAACAGGGGGGTCAGGGGTAAAGGGAGTCAAATACATATGTGCTGATGGAAGAAGATTTGACTTTGAGTGGTAAACACACAAGGCTGTATGTGATGTATCATGATGATACATCACTTAAACATATAATTTTATTAACCACTGTACCTCAATAAATTCAATAAAAACTATAACAGTTGCCATTATTTTGTATATGTGGGTGAATTTATAATTTATTCATAAGTGCATTTTTTTCATCTTCACATTATTCTACATACTTTCCATTTTGTCACAACCACAGGGGTTAATTCAGTGGCAAACTGAGAGCAAATCGAAGGGAAGAGAGCGTGTTCGATGCTGGAGCTCCAAAAGCCACCTGTCGTAACTAAAACATCCCTTTCTTTTCTGCTGCTGACGTGATTGCAATTTTTTCCTCTCTGCTTCTCAACAGGGTGGCGGTGATTGTCCCGAAATGAGTATTGGAGCTATAAAAATTGCCCTGGAGATTTCTCTTCCTGGCTCCTTCATCTATGTCTTCACTGATGCGCGGTCCAAGGACTATCGGCTCACTCACGAAGTGCTGCAGCTTATCCAACAGAAGCAGTCTCAGGTGGGTGGAAGCAAGCCCTGAATGCAGCTGTCAGGAACCCAGCCTCTCCCCTTTGACTCTACACTGTGTGGCCAGTGTCACTAATTACAACTAGTAACCCGTGTATGTGTACCCCAATGTGTGTGCGTCGTTTAATTTGAACATACAAGTGGGTATGTGATATTTGTGCATAGTATATGAATGCCTTGTTTTCATACAGAGAAGAAAGGGTGTGGGGATTAATTAAGGTATTTGTTACCATTGTGTCCTTATAATTGACAGAAACAGACCGACCAGAAAAGGCCTGCGTTTAAAGTATCATCTCCTCTGTGGAATCTTGTCTGAGTTAGTTACTCACTGTACCAGTTAGCTATTGCTGCGTAACAAGCATTTCTAACTCGCAATAGCTTAAAACAATAAGCATTTATTTCTCATGTTAGCCGGGCCCAGCTGAATTTGGGCTTGCTCACTTGTGTGCCTGGGGATTGTTTGAGTTTGGCTTATGTGGTAGGCCTACGTCTGGGTGACTTGGCTGCACCTCACAGGCTTCTCAGCCTCTTATCTAAGACCAGTGAGCAAGCTGATGTTGGTATGTTCTCATGGACACTAGAGAGCAAGTGAAATACTCAAGGCTTCTTGAGTGTAGATTCAAAACTGACAGAATGTCCCTTTTGTCTAATGGTACTGGTCAGAGAGAGTCACACGCCCAGGTTTTGATTCAAAGATGACAAAAAAAAGCTTCAGCTGTTTAGTAAGAAGAACTTCAAAACCTTTTGCAGATTGCATGGATATAGGGAGGAATATAGAAGTGTATATATATATATATGTTATATATATATGTATTCTACTCGCCTAGTAGTATGTTAACACATAAAAGGTACTCAATAAATATATATTGACTTATGAAAACCCTTTGAATTGTCTTCTTTTTAAAAAATCCAAGGTGGTGTTTGTGCTCACTGGAGACTGCGATGACAGGAGCCACGTGGGATATAAAGTCTATGAAGAAATTGCCTCGACGAGTTCTGGGCAGGTGTTCCACCTGGACAAGAAGCAGGTCAATGAGGTGAGTGCCATGAAGTAGGTGTGCTCTGTTATAAGCTCCTCTACCAAAGCTGCTGGGCCGACCTGATGGTGACAGATTTGATTCCCAAAACAATTTAAACGAAAAGGTTTTATTTTCCCAAACCGTGCGGAGAAGCATAGATTTGTCTAATATAAGTTTCCAGATTGTATTATGCTATACGGACAACTTATTTAGATTGAAGCATCAATGTATTGAAATTTTATTTAGTGGGACTTGAACATTTTTGTAGTTCTTGTTGCTTTGTAGGGCCAATTCATATTTCTGGTGCACAGTGTGTGGTGACTGGCAACATGGGGTTTGCCCGTCTACTGAATGTCAGTTATTCCGCAGAATTCCAAAGAACGTTGATCTCTAAGTTAAAAAGTAAAAAACTGTGACTAAGTCCTATGTAGTTTTTCTAAAAACTTTTGGGGAATAATCTACAACGTACATACTATGAAAATCTTCGTATTCTCTCAAAACGTGTTAGAGATATGTCTTATTGTCCCGATTCACTTTTCCCCTTTTTGTCACCTTTCCTTGGCTGTGCTAAGAAAAAAAAATTGTATTTATTTATTTGGCTTCCACTTAAAGTTTCTAGGAACATGGCACTATAAAGGCGAGGTTTTATGTAGGCATAAGTCACGTTTGATTGATATGGTCACTGTATATACACACATTCTGTTAATTTCACGGCAGATTTCTTTGGGTCTCGAATGAAATGGTTCAGAGTCCTCTTATAACTTAAGAGTCCTATTACATTATGAGGGAACTAACACTTTCTAGAATAAACAATCTAGCAAAAATATATTTTATCAACAGATGATATACAAACCTGGAAGGTTACTTTAGTCCCCAAAACTTTTTCTGGGAAGAGAAACAGCCTCAGAGAGGGTTATGGCTTGAGTCCACGTTGTGTCCACTGTGGCGATTCAGAAATGCCCGGGCGACATCTGGCAGCTACGGGAGGAGCCCTTGGCAGTTAGTTATATAAACATTTGCACGAGAATTTGGGAGCCTGGGAAGAAAAGAGTTGGGGAAGAGTACAGGACTCTCTCAGGACCTGGGTTTCCTGTCCCATCCCACAGACTGTGCCTGACCCGAGTGAGGGAAAGGCCACCGGTTGAAGTTGTTTTCCATCTGAAATTGTGCAAGGTCCTGGGGTACAGTCGGTATTATGGGCACAGAGCAGGACGTAAGTGAGGAAGTGCGTCGCTCTCCCTTGCACCGGTGAGGACGCCACCCACTCCCAGTGCCGTGAGGCTGTCCGCTGGAGGTGGCAGAGGTGGTCAGCACGGGCAGATGGCCGCTGGTTCAGCAGAGGATGCCACGCCCGGTGGACATGGTGGGTCCCAGCAGGGCTACTAGGGGAGAGAAGCCGTGAAAAGAGATGGGACATGTGGAAGGACAGGTGTTTGAATCTGTGAGCAGTCAGACATCGTTTGGAGATTCTCAGTACGAACTGGGTACCTTTAAGGGAGAACCATAGACTTTATTAGGGTCCCATAGCCAGAAAATAACATAGTGTGTCCTATGAATGTATCTCCACTTACATCCATACACCCAGGGAGATCGACTTACACAAAACTAAAAATATTATTGTTGCCTTCTACAGAGAAAATAAGCCCATATAGAGGCACTTTATTTATTAAATAAGTGGCCCAATGCATAATTTTTGTAGTGCTAATAATTTTTACCAATTTCCAAGAATCACAGTTTATACAAATGTGATGTATAGTGCATGACATTTTACAGGTATAGATTTATAAGAGAAATTTAACCCGCTGGTCCATTAATAGTGTTTCTCTTCCAGACCATTAACTGATATTCTGATCTTTAAATTTAGCTTAGGCAGAATAGGACCAGAGAGAAGCATTCCTAAAATTGTCCATTGTTACGAAATGGAATTTGATGCCATTGGGGATGGGCCTTTAATTTACCGGTCAATTATAGCCATTCTAACTTCCTTGCCAATTGGTTCAAGAAAGATCATCTCATTTGCTTTGGCCCACTGAGACTCGAGGGGAATTTAGCTAAGGGTGTCTTGGACAAGTTCTCTTGTCCCAGATATTGTCCTATAGGACTGTGAATCCCGGATCTGAGGCGTCTTCCTCCAAGTCAGACATGAAGCAAATACAAGGGGGAATAGAGAGCTAGGAAAATTCAAAACCTTTGGATTAAGTCAGCATTCAAACTCACCCTACTGCTGAGAATCCAGCATCAAGGAAATGGTTGGTTTGCTTAGGCCAATTAGACCTGAGTATTCAGTTACCTAAAGAAAAATGCATCCTGATGCAAATTCTCTATTTCTTTGTGACTCGGTCTCTCCAAGACCCGGTACCCTTGTTTGTAAAATGGGAATAATAGGATCATCCATTTCTGAGAGTTCTTCTAAGATTAAATGAGATACTGCAGGTAAAACGTTCCACACGAGGCCTGGTACAGGGTAAGTGCCTAATACATGTTAACCAGTATTATTACAATCCTCGTCATGTTGTGATTTTGCTTTCAGATGGGGAAATCGGGCCACTCTGTTTGTTAGAAACCGGATGGCTAGTTGTTACTGGGAAATAAATTTGACCGGGAAGAGGCTGAGAGATGGTTTCTCTTTTTTGTGTGTGAGGAAAAGATACTGTGAGGGGTCACTGAAGCTGTGTAAGCCAGGATGGTCCTTCCGGAAAGCCACCGTGGTGGGAGAGTTTGCTGGAAAAAAAATGAGAGTGACAGTGACAAACTGGATTTACAGAATTTTTAGTCTATAAATTAGCCACTTTTCTTTGCTCATTGTTCCAAAATGTCCCATTATGTAAACATTCTGAACTCCAGGGAAACTGGACGCTATAGAGACGTGTGTGCATTTAGCAGACCCGGAACTCAAGGGAGGCCACATGTGCTCAGTCCTCGCATTTTACTCAAGAGCAACTTTTCATCTGCCGTTTCTAAAGGAAACTGTAGAGTTTCATGTTTTTTCTTCCTCACCTAGTTCATCAATTTCCTAATATAGTGAAGTGTATTTTTATATCAACTCCCTTGAGCTAATTTAAAGTCTTTTCCATCTGTTTTTTTTTCTTTTTTTCTTTTTTAAAATAATGATTAAGGAGAAGATCTAGGTGTCTTTCATCTCTATTTAACATAAAAGGGAAACCAAAGTAAAGACATTAGTTGGCCAAGTATGAGTAGTCTATAAATCACTGTATAGTGTTACATTTTAGAAACACAAGTTAAAACACATCTCAGGGGTACACTTACACAGTTCACCTTTGAAGACGAAACTAAACAGTCTTACTCTTCCATTTCTTTTCAAACTGGGTGATCGTCAGTGGAGCTAATGAATACTTCCCTTCGTATAAGAAAAGTCCAAGTTTGGAATCTCAAAGTTACTCACAGATGTTATATTCTGGAGGGAAGGAAGCTAACACAGAGATCCACTGTTGGCTGATTCTCCATCTCTTCTCATTTCCTGGTGCCTTACGTTTCCCCAGTGTGACTGGAAGGTGAGGGACCAAGGAGCCCTGGTGAGGGATTCTGCAAAGGTCAGCATCCCAGGACAGAAGGGTAGAGGACGAATCTAGAGAGACAAAATGAAAATATCCAATACAAACAGCATTGTGTAGAAGTTAAAACCCCAGACTCTGGGACTGTGGCTCCCATGTGACCTTAGATAGGGTACTTGTTTTTCTGTCTCAGTTTCCTCATCTGTAAAATGGGGAGAATGTTTAGAACATCTCAATAAGTATGAACTGCTATTATTTTTATTTAGTGCTACATGCTAGTCAAAAGTTTCCAGCCACGCCCTGGCCGGTTTGGCTCAGTGGTTGGAGCGTCGGCCTGCGGTCCAGAGAGACCCGGGTTCGGTTCCCGCTAGGGGCGCGTACCTCGGTTGCAGTTTGTCCCCGGCCCTGGTTGGTCATGTGAGTGGCAGCCACTCGATGTGTCCCTTCACGTCGATGTTTCTCTCTCTCTCTTCCTCTCTCTCCCTCCCGCTCTATCTGAACAAAAAATGGAAAAATGTCCTCAGGTGAGGATAAAAAAAAAAAAAAAGTTTCCAGCCACTTTTTCACAATTGTCCCTAAAACAAAGAAATATATATGTGTAGTGTCCCTCTGTGATGAGATGGCCCAGGACAGCATGCTATAATGGGAAATGCCGGGGCTTTAGAATTGGGGCACTGGGATTTGAATGACCTCTTTGTCATTAGCTAGTTGAACAACTTGACTCAACTTTATTTAACTTCTCTAAAATGATGTCTTTGTGCGAAGAGAGGCACATTAATGGACTCACAGGACGGTCGTGAAGGTGAAATAGAACAAAGCACACCTATAATCAGCTGAGTGGAGTTTCGGGCGAATGGAAATCACCCCGCCTGGAGTTTCCAAGGACAGGAATGGCTCTCTGCCAAAGGGGACACCAGTATTTCCGCTTTGATCGCAGGGCCTGTGAAAGGCTCAGAAGGAGAGGGGTGTTTTGGTGAGCCCCCCGCCCCTTTAGAAATAAATACCCAGGGGAGAATGGACGCAGAACGACGAAAGACTTTGTAAGATTCTCAAACTTCTACAGTTTCCCTGTGTTTGTCTTTTTTTCTGATTTTCACATCACAGTAAAACCACTACAGTGGTGGAGGGTTTGACTGCTCCTTTGGAGATGACAAGAGCCTCCGTAGCAGGGACAGTCGTCTGGGGACCCTCGCGGAATGCTTCCTGTGTCAGGCACTGGGCTGAGTGACTGCTTTCATTCCCGCAGGCCTGTGGGCCGCAGCTGATTTTTGAAACAATAAACTGAGCATGTGTTTTTCTCGCAACAAATGGAAACAATGTCCACTTGGCTTCATTTAACCCTATTACTGACCTACAAAGCACTAATAATGATAATAACATAATAAGGTAATACATACTCTGTGGGAAGCCCCGAGGAAAATAAATCCCCTCCCTGTTGGTCCTCCTGGAGTGCACGTGTGTAGTGGCAGCTAATGGGAGGACAGGAGCCAGAGTCCCCCGTGTGAA